CTACAATTACAATACTGGGAATGATATCCATCCTCTGCAACAACTAAATTTTAAAGTAATGATGAAAATATTAGATTCACCTTAAAAAAATGTGCAAGGGGCTGCATAGTTCTTATATATTCTTTTAGGAACAGAGTGGCAAAAATTTTTGAAGACCACTACTATGGAAGACCCATGACTAAAAAGGTAGAGTGAGATCCGACTATAGAGATTTTTGGAAGATAGGCAGAGTTTAGACGTGAGGTGGCAAGACAACCCCTGAGCCTTAGTTTTCTCACCTGTCCATCCTAGGCTTTTGAATGTTCTATGTTGGGACACAGGGAGGCACTGACGGCTGAGGTATGAAATAGTGAAGGAAGATCATGCTGGTGGTGCCTGAATGCGATCCACGTTGGGACTGGCATGAGAAGCTGTTAGTCTTAGCTGTTAGTCTTAGGTGACATTACTAGGGCCAGGAGAAAGTATTTTCTAGTCTTTTAATTCCAGAGTTAGAAAATAACTTCTCTGTCCTTTCCAACATCCTGGATAAAGGAAAGTGTGTCCTGTCTCTGATGCCCTCAGAGATACCCATAAACTCTGGGGGCCACGTGGAAAGAGCAGTCATTGTGATCCCAGGTCATCATCTCTCTCTCTGTGGCTTGTATGTGAGGAGGGTAGGGAGGTGGGGCTGGAGTGCAAGAGGCGGATTAGAAACTGTTTCCAGAGTCTACCCAGGCCCAACAGGTGCCTGCTGAAAGTCATCTCTCTGGTCCCTGCTACAGTGAAAGAGAGGAAGGGGAATACTGAGCAGGCTGATTTCAGAAGACTAAGGAGGCCCCCACCTGCTGGCTAGAGTCTGAAATGGCTGTGGAGAAGGTTCGAATCTAATTCTTACTCTGCACTGTAAGTTATTCAGTTACACAATAATTGGGCATTGGAGCAGGTTTTGGTAGCTAAGATCCCTGGCTGGTCTAGAAAGGGTTGTACAGGCTTGGCAAAAACCAGCTTTTCCCACTGTCAGCTAACTCTGAGGCCAAATCTAGTCAAAATGAAGATTCAGGGAAGCTGTTTTAGATTCAAGTAATAGAAACAGACTGACTAAAGCAGGAAAGAAATTTATTAGTAAAACATAGAGGAGCTCCTCAAATAATTGGAAGGACAAGTGAGCCAGATTGGAGGCTGTGTAGTAAGGATCCATACCCAAAATGAAACCACACAACAGTTCTTGTTAAAGACACCCTAGCTGTCACCTCTAGGTATAGACACTGCTTTCTCCATAGCCAATTACCATATGTTGGATGCTGCTCTTACAACTGCTGCCATGACTGTCTCTGGAAATGCTGCTGCCACTCATCTGAATGGATTATGAGTGTTCTCTAGTTCTCTTTCCAGCTTCCAATGCATCTGATTAACAGATCCCCTGTCATGTGGCTATGCCCTGGCTGCAAAGAAGGCTGGAAGCAAATGCCTAACATTTTCAGCTTCTAAGGTGGAGGAAGAGTCTAAAGTGGGAGATTTCCCAATCGTGGGAAGAGGATTCAGAAACTGGGTGGCCGAAAACAAGGAAAGCCTTGAAGAAGATGGATATACATAAAACCACCCATTCTGAAGCCAGCAATCTCCGTGGTAAAGGGAGCCATAATCATTTGTATGAGAAACTAGGGATGTTGCAGCTTTAAAAATACATATATAGGGCCAAGCCCATGGTGCACTCGGGAGAGTGCGGCGCTGGGAGCGCAGCAGCGCTCCCGCCACGGGTTCGGATCCTATATAGGGATGGCCGGTGTACTCACTGGCTGAGCGCGGTGTGGCCGGTCTCAAAAAGGACAAACAAACAAACAAAAAAACATATATACACAGGGAAATAGGGTCAACCATCAGGAGGGCTCTTATATGGAAAACAATTTGACTTAGTTTACCTCTAAGGGGTAGAACTAAGATTATTGGGGAGGAGTACCAGGGGATATAAATTTTCCTCAATATAAGGAAGGTTTTTCTTTTTTGTTTTTAAAAATCAAACAAACCTTGTTTCCATTATAGAAAAAAATGCTCAGAATAAAAATACAGAAAGGCAATAACTCACAGAACCACAATCCGAAGGCAATTACTGATAACATTTTATTGTTTCCTTCCAGTTTTTTCCTATGTTAATTTTTAGTCTTCTAAACAGTGTGATTTCACTCTGTACATATTGTCATATTCTGCCTTTATCCGCTTAATATCAGATCATAACATTTTTCCACTTTATTACCAACTCTTTTTAGGCATCATTTTCTTTTCTTTTCTTTTCTTTTTAAAAAAGATGACTGGTAAGGGGATCTTAATCCTTGACTTGGTGTTGTCAGCCCCACGCTCACCCAAGTAAGCAACCGGCCATCCCCATATAGGGATCTGAACCCATGGCCTTGGTGCTATCAGCACCACACTCTCCGAAGTGAGCCACAGGCTGGCCCTTTAAGGCATCATTTTCTTTTTTTTTTTTTTTTTTAAAAAAAAGATGATCGGTAAGGGGATCTTAACCCTTGACTTGGTGTTGTCAGCACCACGCTCACCCAGTGAGCAAACCGGCCATCCCTATATGGGATCCGAACCCGTGGCCTTGGTGTTATCAACACCGCACTCTCCCGAGTGAGCCACGGGCTGGCTCCCTAAGGCATCATTTTCAATGGCTGTGTAATGTTTCATCTGAAGGATAACAGCATAATTTACCTGAACATGTTTCTGTTGTTGGACAATTAGGTTATCTCCAGTTTTTTGTTGTTTTAAATAATATTGCAATGGACATTTTTGTGTACAAAACCTTTTCTGTATTTAAGATTATTTCCTCAAGACAGTTTACCCAAAGTGGAATTATGGGGTCTAAACATTAAATACATAGATATGGACATGTACTTATTAAATATATTATATTAAACTTTATATACTCTTAATTAATTAATTAATTAATTTATTTATTTATTTTTTGTCTTTTTCATGACCGGTAAGGGGATTGCAACCCTTGGTGTGGTGTCGCCCGCACCGCGCTCAGCCAGTGAGTGCACCGGCCATCCCTATATAGGATCCGAACCCACGGCGGGAGCGACGCTGTGCTCCCAGCGCTGCACTGTCCCGAGTGTGCCACGGGGCTGGCCCTGTATATATATTCTTAATTTAAAAATGAAATGAGGTGAAAAATATAATACCTTAGTGCTCCCAGAATTTCTTTTAGGGAAGGAACTGTCTTTATTAGGGGAAATAAGCCACTTAGAGGAAGAAAGTGGGATCTTCAGGGCATGAGTGTTGGCAGGAATCCAAACAGTGGACAGATATGGTTAAGATGTCTCTTTCTGCCAGGAAAGCCAGAGGAATTTGTATTATCTCCAGAAAGGGTGGGACAGAGGAGAGAATGGTGGGGCAGGGAAGAGGGCGGAGGATAGGTAGCAATTTGGGAGAAGGCCAGGCCCTAAGGGGTGAAGGGCCAGTTAGAAAACCTCAATGTGGGGTGCGGGAAGGGCTTTAACGATGGGTGAGTTTAAACTGTTTGCCAGGCATCATGTGATCTTGCCCTAGGGCTCAGAGCATCATAATGTTTTCTGTATTCATGAATTTTTTGTATGGGAAGAGGTGTGGGCAGTCCTCAGCAAGGGCTGAGTTTCATCTCTAGAGCCCTGAATTGATTTCTAGAACTCTGAACTGTACAGTAACAGCCTGGCAAGAAGCAGAAGCCCAGAGGCAGAGATATTTAGAATATTAGTCCCCAGAAATCTGCAGAAATCTTAGGGAGGGCTTTGACTTCCATAGTCCATGTTTACTTCAATCTCAAAGGGCGAGGAGGTTGACATCTAAATTACAAAAGTAATGAACATTCATTTCAAAAAGTAGGAAAAAAAGGGCTAGCCAGTTAGCTGACTCGGTTAGAGGGTAGTGCTGGTAAAACAAAGGTCGCTTACCAGCCAGTCACCAAAAAAAAAAAAAAAAAAAATCCAGTCAAGAGTTCGGATCCCCCTACCGGCCAGCCACCTAAGCAACAACAAACAAACAAAAACGAAAACAAAACAACAAGGAACAACAACAACAAAAGTAAGCAGAAAGAAAGAAAAAAAACCACTCATGGTTCTACTACCCTAAAGAGCTGAGGGTGTGGCAAACGAGTTGCATCGGAGAACGGAGGGGTAACCTTTACTTTAAGGATAGTGGAAAGGAGGGAGTTACCCATTGTTCATACACCTGAGAGTCAAGTTTTGCTCATCACCAGATGACAAAGCCAACTTCTCCCACCAGTCTGCCTTCCAGCTGGCTGGTACAGGGATCTGAACCCTTGACCTTGGTGTTATCAGCACCACGCTCTAACCAATTTAGCTGACTGGCCAGACTTCCCTTCCAGGTCTTAAAGACCGGTGTTAAGAAGTGAGAACCGAATTTTCTAAAACAGTAAGGAGGGTGCTCCCCATTTAGGTGGACAAGCGTATTAGATAAGCACATGAGAAGGTAGGTAAGAAGTCCAGGAGCATAAGTTTCCAGTTGCAGAAGAGTCTCGAGGAAGGAAAGCCCTTTTTTGAAAATTACAGGCAGCGCGGTCTCCTCTGGTGGACGAAGCACTGGGTTAAGAGTCAGGAGAGTAGGTTCTAGCCCCAGCATTGCTTCTTGCTGCAAGTCACGCACCTTCTCTGGGCCTAAGTTTCTTCACCGGAAAGTTGTAGAGGTTGTACTATACTAGATGACCCCTACCTCCCTTGCTGCTTTAAACTCCCTTTTGCAATACTTGCTGGACTTGTTTTACTAGACCTAGCGCTCCCCGGCTCCTCCCCGGCTCCTCCCCGGCTCCTCCCCGGCTCCTCTCCAGCTCCTCCGTCAGCTGCAGCGCCCGTAATCCGCACCAGACGGCGCTACAGGCAGGTTCGAGGCAGCGTGCGGTGGGCGGAGTGGCAGAATCGAGGAGTCTCCGGGAGGCACGGTGATTGGCCGCGGCAGGGCAGAAGGGGGCGTGGAGAGGGAGGGCCGAGCTGCGCGGTGACGTCACGCTGGCGGGGCGGGGCCGGGCCGCGGAGCGTGTGACGCCGAGGCCGCCGCGGAACTGGGGATTAATGGGAAAAGTTTTGGCAGGAGACGGAGGTTTCTGCGGAGCCTGCGGGAGGGCGGCGGTGGCGCGGGAGGAGGCCGGGACAGGTCAGTCCGGGTCTGGAGAAGAGGGTAGGCAAGCAGCGGAGGGAAGCGGCGGGCCGGGTCGAGGCGGCCAACGGGGCTGGGGCTTAAGGCCCGGCGTGGAGCGGGATTGGGGGAGCGGTAGGGGTCCGCGGACAGCGCCGCTGCGGCTTGCAGCGCTTTGGCCCGCGCCGGTCAGCTGTTGTGCGTTGCCCTGCTGGCACCCCACTGCCTCTGCGCCCCTAGCCCTGAGTCCCCCATAGCTGTCAGAGCCCGAACCACGGGCGTCGTTCCACGCGATCCTGTGCCCCCTCTTGGGCCTCATGGCTCCGTGTCCTCCCACTTCTCTGAGAGCCCGTCTCAGGCCCGGGATCCTCTCCCACTCCCCTCCCATGCCTCTGACCTCTTCTCTCACCCCTTCTAGTGCCCCCAAATCCGTTGCTCTACCTACCTAGGGTCTCCTTGGGGATCTTCTCCTCTGTCCCCTTCGTTATAGTTGTCTCCTGCCTTCATCTTCCCATCCTTGCCCTTTCAGTCAGTCGTTGCTTTCTTCTCCCGTCCCTGTCCCCTACTTCTCCCCGTGCCTGATCCCTCCCAGTATTACTGCTCCCCATCCTCTTTTCTAACCCCGTTTCTGCAATCCCTGTCTAGATAAGCCTCTCCTACTCTGGCTCCCTCGGAGGCCCTGTTTTTGCCCCACTCTCTGAATTCCTTCATATCAACCCTGTCCCCTGCGTTCCTGTCGACCACCTACCTCACTCCCTTTCCCTCAGGATTCCTTGCCTCTGCTTCAGGGAGAAGCTTTAGCTGCACACACTGCTCTGCTTTCACTTGACCTGCAGTTGTGATACCTATGGGGTGGGTGGGGTGGGGTGGAAGTTTTAAGCATCTGATTGAATTAAGGGGCTGAATGTCTGAGGTAAATAACAGGTGTGTCTGTGTGGGTGAATTTATTGGGGTGTTGCATCAGAGATGATGTCCAATTTGTAGGACATTCTTCTAATCTCAGCTTTAATACTTCCTTTTTATGGGTCTGTTGACTTCCAGGAACACTTGGGGAGAGACTGGGCTGAGTAGGGTGCGTGCCAGGGCTAGGTGGAGGCCTCATCCAAGGCTTTTCCCTTTCCAGGAAACAGGGTTCTGTGTCCTTTCACTTAGGATGTATTGAACACATTTAAGCCATGATACCCCAGCCTATATCTGCCCTCACTCCACCCTCCACCCTATGCCCCATTCCAAAGAGCTAAGAGAAGTCTCTAGAAACTATGCCCCAGAGAATGCCAGTGGTCCTCAACCTCTTTCCTCTGTACTGGCTCCAGAACATTTTTTTCCTGTTTGAGTTTTGAAATAGATTGCCAGCCTGATAGCCCTGGGGCTGGCAGGCATGTATCCCTTTTACTATCGGTGGCTTGAACCAGCTGCTGATTTTCTCTCCTGCATCTTTGACCAACTGAATGTGCCTCTGATGTTAGTCACTGCACAGGTTCTCTTGGAGTTTCTTCTTCCTTCTTTTTCCTTGGGAACTTAATTTCCTGTGGATCCAAGAGGGAGACTGACGCTGAATTTTCATTCCGTTTGCCCAGGTGAAGTGTGGGGTATCAGGTTGATATCTGCCTGGATAGGTTGTGGGGCTGCATTCCTTGTCAGGAACTTGAGTTGTCTGATTCCAGCCATATAGATCATCTTCTCTGGGGCTAGAGAGCCCTTCATGGTGTGTCTGGGTGTTTAACCTTCTTGCCAGGCTGGAAGTTCTTTTCAGATGCCTTCAGTTTGAGCTCCTTTATTTGGCCTTGGTCCCCTAGAGAAATCTTCAGGAAATAACATATCCTCTGTTTCTGCCCAGTCTGATCTTAGAGGATTCTGAGAGCATGACCCATTCTCACATTTAGAAAGGAAGGCCTGTTGTTTCACCTGGCTCTGGATTTCTAGGTCTCCTCTTTTGAGGATCATGCTCTCTGTTTTTGAACCAGAATTGGGCACAGAATTGGCAACCTTCAGGAGTTGTGGTGGGGAGCCAATTGAACCAGCTCGACCAGACTTTAAAGTTTTATTATCCCCCGTGCACTAACCCTTTTCTGTGAAAGCAATATGATTGTGGATGACCTGTCATTGAGCCAGTCCCCTCTCCACTGACCCCTGAGCCCCTTCTGCATAGCGGTTTGGGGAGGATTCGGGCAGAATGGACCAGAAGGGGTCCCTTGTTCCTAAGAAAAACATTTCTCCAGGTTTTTTTTTTTTTTTTCCTTTTTGTCTTTTTTCGTGTCTGGCAACGGATCGCAACCCTCTGTGTCGCGCCAATACCGGACCGGGACCGGCAACGGGATCGCAACCCTCAGTGTCGCACCCGCACCTCGCTCAGCCAGTGAGCGGGAACTGGTCTGTATGTGGGATCCGAACCCGTGGCGGGAGCGCTGCTGCGCTCCTAAGCGGCGCACTGTAGCAGTGCGCCACCGGGCCGGCCCATTTCTCCAGGTTTTATTATTTTTTTTTTTTTTAAAAGATGACCGGTAAGGGGATCTTAACCCTTGACTTGGTGTTGTCAGCACCACGCTCAGCCAGTGAGCGAACCGGCCATCCCTATATGGGATCCAAACCCGGGGCCTTGGTGTTATCAGCACCACACTCTCCCGAGTGAGCCACGGGCCGGCCCTTCTCCAGGTTTTAATAGGTCATTCTAAAGGGGTTGAGGTCAAGTGTTTGGCAATAATTTAGTCCAGTCTCTGGCTCCCAAGAAGGGCTTTACTTTGTTTTTGCTTACCCATTAGGAGTGCTCTCCACTGAGGCAGGAGGTGAGAGGCTTGAGAACAAGTCAAGCCCAGTCCTTGCAGAGCAGCTTGGGCACCAGCAGCAATGGCCAGATAGCTTCTTAAAGTTTGTCCACTCTGTCATCTTCTGAGTGTGTAGTCTTGATTTACAGTTACCACATTCCCATTCAGTGAGTTTTGCAGAGCTTGGGTCAGCTTGCTTCTCTGTTTCAAAGGTGGGTGGACAAGCCCCTGACAGTATTCTACAGATGGTGTAGACAATCAACTTTTTTTTCCTTTTTGCTTTTATTTTGGGTGCCTGGCCAGTAAGGGGATTTGAACCCTTGACCCTGGTGTTACCAACTCTTAAGTTTAATGAACTGACCGCCCTTTTTTTGGCTGCCTTTCTCCTTGCCGCTTCACCACTTCTTTCTTGTGTATGCCTCAGCCCACTCAAGAGGAATTGCCTCTACTCAGCCTTCCAACCCTGCCTGTGGTCCCTCAGACCCCTTCCCTGAAGGCCGAGTGAGAGGACAGCCAGTATCAGGTGCTGGCCTGGGAAGCCATAGACCTCTGTTTTGGACAGAACATAGCTTTCTTGGGTGTTGTGCAAGCTGTCCTCAGGGCCTGCAGATCCTGGAATGTCTTGGGACAGTGCAGCTCCTCTTTCTCAGGAGGAGTTGGACCTATTGCTTCCAAAGGCTTCAGCTGTATCCTGTCACCAAGGCATACCTGAGTATTCCCTGCAGACTGGGAAGCTGAACTGTGGTGCCCTCTTGCAATACCTCTGCAGGGCCCGGAAATGCCAAGAGCCAGCCCCACTGCCCATCATTGTCAGCACTGGAAACTGTCTTTTTTTTCTCCCTACCCAGTGTCTCTGTGGATTTTGTCCTGTTAGGCCCTTGCTTGTATCATTCAGAAGCCATGTGCCCATTGCCCTTATCTGTGTCATGTTGTACAACATTGCCCAATGGCTGCTTCTTGGAGATGGTTTGATGTACCTGAGCATTTTTTTCTGCCTTTGGAGCCAGGGGGAGGGGCTGCTTATTAGCAGCTGGATTCCAGGGTGTCAGAGGAGAGCTGGGTACTTGGGTTGAGCCTGGCAGGGAGAGAATGGCCTCTTGTATCAGATTTCAACATGTGGGTCTTCTTTCTCATCAGATGGTTCCTGGCCTTCATAACTCATCAGGCTGGTGATTGGGGTGTGACTCCGGTCCTGTTTCCATGGGGCTTTGGTCAAGGAATGAAGCATGACTCAGGGTGTCTACACATATGAGCTGCCACCTATTTGGGGGTGTTGGGCATCAGCTCCTTCCTTACCGTGTCAGTTCTTTCTGCCTCACCTTGGTAAGATCGGCAAAGCTAGTGTCCGCTTGCTTGGAGGTGAGCGGACTACTTCCAGGATTGGGAAATATTTGCTGATTCAGGCTCAGAATAACAACATCTCAGGGTGGGTGTGTGAGGAGCCCAACTGCCATGGGAGCACTCTTTGAACTCTGGTGTTTAATTATAACTTATTAGAGCTGCTTTTCAGACCCCTGGTGCCTCTTAGCTAAAGATGTTGGTTTTTTTCTTGTCCTGCAGTGTTGCGTGGTGTTTTGGGCATGCACGTGGTACTCACACAGTGGCTTCTGCTCACCAACAGATGAAGACAGATGCACCAAAGAGGTAATCCCATTTCCCTTACTCAGGGGCCTCTGAAGCTGACTAACACAGGATCCAGATTTAGGATCCTGGCCTTGAAGATGAAATAATTTCACTGGGGCTGAGTCCCAGACCCCAATTGCCTGTCATAGCATCTGGTACCCATCACGTACACATAGTAGGCACTGATTTCATAGTTAGTGAATGTCTGTGGCTTACATAATTTTTTCAGGAGCATGAAGATTTTCACCTTTGCACCCACTAAAACTTAAACTCCACAAGGGCAGGGATTTATTTTGTTTCCTTTTGTGTCCAGGACAGTGCCTGGCACGGAGGAGATGCTGAATAAATATTTGTTGAGTGAATAAATGAACACACTTCCTTCTCTACCCATATGGGTGCGTAGGGTGCCAAGCCACAAAGATGGTGTTGATCATTTTCTTTCATTTATGAAGCAAATATTTCTGAGTGCCAGGCACCTGGGAAATGATGATAGTAAAAACCGGATTCAGTTTGCTGGCATACATGGGGTCTTCAAAAAGTTTGTGGAAAGATTAATATTATTATTTTTTTTCTCATATTATCTTTTAAGTCTGTTTTTCCATGAACTTTTTTTTTTTTTTTTTTTGTCTTTTGTCTTTTTCCGTGTCTGGCAACGGATCGCAACCCTCAGTGTTGCCCCCGTACCGGACCGGGGACCGGCAACGGGACTGCAACCCTCGGTGTTGCTCCCGCGCCTCGCTCAGCCAGTGAGCGGGAACCGGTCTGTATGTGGGATCCAAACCCTCGGGCGGGAGCGCCACCGCGCTTCCCAAGCGGCGCACTTATCCAGTGCGCCACCGGGCCGGCCCCTTCCATGAACTTTTTTTTTTTTTTTGTCTTTTGTCTTTTTCCGTGTCTGGCAACGGATCGCAACCCTCAGTGTTGCCCCCGTACCGGACCGGGGACCGGCAACGGGACTGCAACCCTCGGTGTTGCTCCCGCGCCTCGCTCAGCCAGTGAGCGGGAACCGGTCTGTATGTGGGATCCAAACCCTCGGGCGGGAGCGCCACCGCGCTTCCCAAGCGGCGCACTTATCCAGTGCGCCACCGGGCCGGCCCCTTCCATGAACTTTTTGAAGTACCCTTGTACATGAGACCTGGGCATAATACACAGAATTGTTTCTTCCATCTCTGCTGGGGTAGTGGGTCCTCACTAGAGTTTGAACAATGCTCTAGGTTTCCTATTGCTGTTTCCCTGTTCTCAGGATGCCTGGCAGGTTTTATAAACTCTCAGAAGGGGAGCTCCAGGGAATTCCATGTTCATTGTCCCAGCTATTTGGGAGGCTGAGTTATTGTGGGTCCCTGCTGGGGGCCACAGGAAATGTAGCCTCCTGTCTGATTTGTTTTAATCTCTGAAGTTCGGTGGTTCCAACATCTGTTTGTGGGTTTTACTTCCCTTTCTCTGCCTTTAACCCCCTGAGGGTTTTCCTGTTGCCAAACAGGGTAGTGAACCCCTGTGTCTCTCGGTCTGTAGGGGTCAGGTTGTTTGTGGCTCTTTCAGGAAAGTCTTGGGCAGGGGCCCCTCCTGTTGTCAAACCCATACCAAGTCCTTTCCTCTGAAAGGACTGTGAAGGAGGAAGAAAGGGGGGTTTGGGAGGCTTCTGAGATTCCCTGAGAGGAGATGAGGTGGAAGTCCCCCCTGAGCAGGGAGAGCTACCAAGTTGAATTGATTGTCTTTGTCATTTGCTTCAGCAGCAGCTAGCCACAGTGGCAGCAGCTGTACATGTACAGGGGTTGGTTGTCCGGTTCATCCCTGATCTTTGAGCTCCCAGTCCAAGGCAGAAGTTTTCTTCCTTAGTTTTCTCTGGCAAAGGTGAGGCTATAGCTTTATCATATTTTTCAGTGTTAATCTCAAAAAGCAGTGGTTGTTGCCATGTTAGTCTTTCTCACCTGTAGTACTTCCGTGGGCCAGGTGCTGTGACAGATATCTCAGATACGGTCCTTGCCTGCACCCTTCCCCCACCTCCCCATACAGTGGGGAACCTAGTTGGGGAGAGAACACATATGCACAAAAAAAGATTTTTTTAAAAGTAATTTTTTATATATATTTTTTGTGGCTGGCCAATGCAGAGATTGAACTCTGGACCTTGGTAGATTTTTTAAATATTAGAAAGCCAGTGGATACTAAGAACATGGTGCTGTACAAGGATATGTATTCTGAGGAGCAAGCCATCACTGAGGGCTGGCTTTGTCCGTGAAGAAACTGAGTCTCAGATTGGGCCTTGAGAGAAAGATGATTTATTTTGAAGTCAACCTTAAAATATTGGAAAACAGTGATTCTCAGTCTTTTTGGCCTCAAGACTCCTCTGCATTCTTAAAGATTGGGTACCCCAAGAGCTTGTGTTTACCATAATAGAAATTAAAACTGGGGAATTTTTTTTTTTTTTTTTAAGGATGACCGGTAAGGGGATCTCAACCCTTGACTTGGTGTTGTCAGCACCATGCTCAGGCAGTGAGCGAACCGGCCATCCCTACATGGGATCCGAACCTGTGGCCTTGGTGTTATCAGCACTGCACTCTACCGAGTGAGCCACAGGCCGGCCCAAAACTGGGGAATTTTTTAAAGTTACTAATTTACTCATTTAATAAACTCATGTGTTATCATAAATGACATTTTTAATGAAAAATAACTACTTTTCAAAACAAAAAAATTATTGAGGGGAGAGATTTTTGCCTCTATGTCTGGTTTAATAAAAAACAATTGAATTCTTATATCTGCCTCTATGTTCGGTCTCTAGCAATATTTTGTTTTGTTTGAAAGATATGAAGGGGGCCGGCCCGGTGGCGCACTGGAGAGTGCGCCGCTTGGGAGTGCAGTGGCGCTCCCGCCGAGGGTTCGGATCCCATGGGGAGACCGGTTCCCGCTCACTGGCTGAGCGCGGTGTGGGCGCAACACCGAGGGTTGCGATCCCGTTGCCGGTCCCCGGTACGGGCACGACACTGAGCGTTGCGATCCTGTTACCGGTCAGTAAAAAAGACAAAAAGGAAAAAAAAAAAAAAAGGAAGATATGAAGAAAATCTGGCCTCACACAGATAGGTGGTTGAGAAAGGGAGGACAGTCTTTGCAGATAATTGTGGATATTTTTCTTTGATACTATACCAAACTCAACAGGTTGTAGTTTTTTAAAGGGTAGTCCACTGTGGAGTCTGAAACCTTAACAAACTTTCATACTTTGTCATATTAAAATCCGTCGGTTTATCTTGCACTTAAAATGGATCTTTTACTTTGAATTGGTCATTGGAAATATTGGTTCACCGAATTATGCAGATCTTCCAGATGTTGACACATTTTATTTTACAATATCAAAAAATCATATTCATTAATATCACCACTGATCTCAGAAAAGTCTTCAGGTATTGGAAAGCTGTCAATTTCACAGTGGTCAAAACAAATTTTCCATGATTTAAATTTTCTCTTGAAAGCTTGATTTTTATCATTTGTATCTTGGTAACATACTGTTGGTTCTTTTTCTTGAAGTGACATTCTTACTTCCCTTTCTTTAAAGTAAAAATGGTGTTCCATGAAAAAGTGGCTAGTTTAGCTTGCAACTCAGTCCCACAAGGGCTTTTTCTATTTTATTCATTTATTTTTATTTTAACATTGACTTGTACACATTTGTGGGGTACAATGTGTTTTTTAAATACATGCATATACTGTACAAGCACAAGTGCTTTTTCTTGAGATAATCATGTAACTCCCATTTTGTCACAAAGACATTTATCAAGGGTCAAGATTTAATAAAGTTAGTTTTCAGTGGTTCATCTAGGACATTCTTAAGTGAAATTGGCACTTTATTCCTCTCTTCCCTGGTTCTGTGCCTTGACTGGGCTCAGCTGGGTGGTTTTTGCTTGGGGTCTCTCACTTTGCTATAGTCAACTGGAGTCTGGGGCAGGTGTCATCCGAAGGCTCAGCTGGGTTGGACATCCATGCTGGCTTATTCACATGGCAGGCACTTGATGCTCACTGTTGACTGGAGTGCCTACACGTGGCCTGTCCATGTGCCTTGGGCTTCTCACAAAATGACAGCTGGGTTCTGAGCCGAAGTATCCCAAATGTGGGTGCATTGAGAGATCCAGGCAGAAATGGCAAGATTTGGGCCGGCCCGTGGCTCACTCGGGAGAGTGCGGTGCTGATAACACCAAGACTCCGGGTTCGGATCCCACATAGGGATGGCCGGTTCGCTCACTGGCTGAGCGTGGTGCTGACGACACCAAGTCAAGGGTTAAGATCCCCTTACCGGTCATCTTTTTAAAAAAAAAAGAAATGGCAAGATTTCTCACGACCTAGCCTTGGCAGTCATGCAGTGTCAATTCCACTATTCTCTTAGTCATAGGACCAGTTCAAATTCACGGAGAGGATTACACAAGAGTGTGAATACCAAGAGGCATCGTTCACTGGGGAGGGAAAGAGGCCTCCTTTTCTGTTCAGCCTTCCTCTTCTGTTCAGCAGCTCCTGGCATTCAGGGTAGTTGACTGCAGTACCTTCTTTTTCTTTTGAGTCCAGTCTTCAGCACCTAACTTCTACCCATTGTTCACTCTTTCCCTCCCCAGTGAACGATGCCTCCTTGGAGACCAGCTACTACTTTTTAGCATCCCTTATGTGAGGTAACCTGGCTTTTACTATATATGAGTACTTCCAGGAGAAAAGTGCATCTTCTCACGATTTTCATTCCAGGAAACCACTGTTAGGAAATTCCTAGTAGGTTGATAGAGAACATTGAATGCCAAGTGAAGGACTTTGTACTCTGTTGTTTAGGTAGTGGGGAACCATCAATAGTTTTGGAGCAAGGACTGATGGTGTTAATATTGCTGACAGGTGGATTGAGTAGAGAAATAATGGAGGTAGAGAGGATGGGTAGGAGAATATTGCAGTGGTCTTAGGAAATTCTTCCCCATGTTAAACCTGAGTTCCTCTGGTTATAGATAAATGTATTTTTTTTTTTCCTTTTTGTCTTTTTTTACTGACCTGTAACGGGATCGCAA